ACCTAATGCTTTCTATTGAAATATTAATGATTAATAGAGGGAAACTGTAAAACAAAGTTCATATTTTTATAGTAAGACAAGAAATTTTTAAACAAAAAAATTCTTCTCTGTCCTTTGGCCTCCTCCCTCCTGCACTGTGGATTCTGTGTCTGCATTATGCATCTACCAAAGTTCTCCCATTAGCAGGAAAACCTGCTCAACCATAAAGAGTAACATTCTCCTAGCATCAACAAGGCAACACCTTAAAAGATAAGATTCCTTCTCGATCTTGTAAGGGGTCACATGACCCAATAGAATGACGCTTAGATCTGCACTATGTAAACTTCAATAATACATGTGTCTCAAAAAACTTACATAACTGTACCTTGATTTCTAATAGGTGGAACAGTTCTCAGAGCTTTCTGAGATGCTCTTCTCAGGCTATAATCCTCAAATTTGGCTTGAGTAAAATTTTCCATTTCTTTCTTAGATCAACTGATTAATTTTTCACTGATGCTACCAAAAAAAGATCTTTGAGATGGTAGGAGAGGGTTAGACGTTTTTAACAGAGTTAGGAAATATAAAGAACAACAAAACAGAGTTGAAGAATACAGTAAGTGAAATGAGAAATACATTAGGAGGAATTAATAGTAGAATAAATAAGGCAGAAGAATGAATCAATGAGCTGGAAGACAGAGTAGTGGAAATCATTACTGCAGAACAGAATGAAGGAAAAAGAATGAAATACATGAAGACAGTTTAAGAGACCTCTGGGACAACATCAAGTGCACTAACATTCATATTATAGAGGTCCTAGAAGGAGGAGAGAGAGAAAGGGTCTGAGAAAATATTTGGAAAGATAACAGCTGAAAAATTCCCTGACCTGGGAAAGGAAATGGTCACCTAAGTCCAGGAAGTGTAGAATCCCATACAAGATTAACCCAAAGAGAAACAGACCATAAAGACTATTAGAGAAAAAGGACACTATATAAAGATCAAGGGATCAATCCAAGAAGAAGATATAACAAATTATAAATATATATGCACCCAACATAGGAACACCTCAATATATAAGATAAATGTTAACGGACATAAAAAGAGAAATTGATAGGAACAACAATAACAGTTGGGGACTTTAACACTCCACTTACATCAAAAGACAGATGATCTAGACAGAAAATCAATACAGAAACACAGGCCTTAAATCAGACACATCAGACCAGATGGACTTAATTGATAATTATAGCGTTTCTCATCCCAAAGTAGCAGAATACACTTTCATTTCAAGTGCAAATGAAACATTCTCCAGGATAGATCACATGTGGGCCACAAAGCAAGCTGCTATAAATTGAAGAAAGTTGAAATTATATCAAGCATCTCTTCCAACCACACACACAAAAAAATAACAAAGAAGATCAATGAACCTAAGAGCTGGTTCTTGGAAAAGATAAATACACTGATAGAAAGGGAAAAAAAGGGAGAGGGCTCAAATCAATAAAATCAGAAATAAAAAAGAAGTTACAACTGACACCACAGAAATGCAAAGGACCATAAGAGACTACTACAAGCAACCATGCAATAATCAAATGTACAACTTAGAAGATAGGACAAATTCTTAGAAAGGTAATATCCTCAAGACTGAACCAGAAAATATGAACACACCAATTACCAGTACTGATAGTGAATCAGTAATTTAAAAACTCTCAACAAACGAAAATCCAGGACAAGACAGCTTCACAAGTGCATTCTACCAAACATTCAGAGAAGACTTAACACCTATCCTTCTGAAACTATTCGAAAAAATTGCAAAGGAAGGAACACTTCTGAACTTAGTCTATGAGGCCATCATCACCCTGATAGCAAAATCAGACAAAGATACCACAAAAAAAAAAAAAAAAAAGAAGAAAGAAAGAAAGAAAATTACAGGCCAGTATCACTGATGAACAAGGATGCAAAAATCCTCAACAAAATACTAGCAAATCAAATCCAACAATACATTAAAAGGTATAAAAGATTATACCATGATCAAGTGGGATTTATCCCAGGGATGCAAGGATTTTTCAATATCTGCAAATCAATGTGACATACCACATTAAGAAACTGAAGAAAAAAGGCCATATGATCATCTTAATTGATGCAGAAAAAGCTTGTGATAAAACTCAATATCCATTTGATAAAAACTCTCCAAAAAGTGGGCAGAGAGGGAACATACCTCAACATAATAACCATATATGACAAACCCACAGCTAACATTATACTCAATGGTAAAAAGCTGAAAGCATTTCTTCTAAGATCAGGAAGAATACGAGCATGCCCACTATTGCCACTTTTATTCAACATTGTCTTAGATGTCTTAGCCACAGCAATCAGAGAAGAAAAAGAAAATAAATGAAATCCAAATTGGAAAAGAAGTAGTAAAACTTTCACCGTTTGCAGATGACATGATACTATACATAGAGATCCTAAAGCAACTACCAGAAAACTACTAGAGCTCATCAATGAATTTGGTAAAGTTGCAGGATACAAAACTAATACACAGAAATCTGTTGGATTTCTATATACCAACAACAAAATATCAGAATGAGAAATTAAGAAAACAATCCCATTTACCATTACATCAAAAGGAATAAAATACCCAGGAATAAACCTTCCTATGGAGGCAAAAGACGTGTACTCCAAAAACTATAAGACACTGATGAAAAATAAAAGGTGACACAAACATATGGAGAGAAATAGCTTTTTCTTGGATTGTAAGAATCAATATTGTTAAAATGATCACACTACCCAAGACAACATACAGATTCAA